CAAAACCCCCTTCCCCTCCCCCTTTTCTGATGAAGGGTCTAGGCCCGGAACGTCAGCCTCTCTGCTCCTATGATGCTGCTTGGCCTGCTGTGTTCATCCAGCCCTGCACCTTGTTGTCTCGGATTCTCCAGCATCTGCAGTTCCTACTATCTCAAATTTTAATCACTTTGCTTTCAGTTTCCAAAATCATGGATTCCCAAGTTGTAGTCATAGGTGCATCCTAGTGACCGAGTTAGGGGAGCGGAGAGATAGTGGTGAAGGGTACGTGAGGTACCTCTGAGCAATAACATACAAGAAGCCAAAAGCATAACCACTCACACATCCTGTTGTTTATTTTCTTCCATTTCTCTGTGACTGTTCTATTTTTCATTATATTTAACTATGACTCCAAATATGAGTCTATCCCCAAATGCACAATCTCCCCAGGGGTGATGGTAGCGTGGTAGTGATGTACTGGATTAGCATTTCATAAGTTCAAGTGCCACCGAAGCAGCCTGTGAAATTTGGCATTTTCTTGTTGTACAGTGGTAATATCTCCACTCAGGACCAGAAAGTTCAAGCCCTATCTGCTTCAGATACACATCATAACCTGCCTGGTCAAATTGATTAGAAATGTCTACATCCTGACCCATTGAAATTCATGGTCAGTGCTGCAGTACGTTATTTTAATATGTGCATTTCCCAGAGAGTATTGGAAGTTGAATTGTTGAATTCATCCAATGCTGAATTAGATAGATTTCTGATAGACAAGGGAGTAGACAATTAAGGGGAATGAAGGCAGGAAAGAACAAAAGAACAAAGAAAATTACAGCACAGGAACAGCCCCTTTAGCCCTCCAAGCCTGCATCGACATGCTGCCTATCACAACTAAAACCCCCTACCCTTCCGGGGACCGTATCCCTCTATTCCCATCCTGTTCATATATTTGTCAAGACGCCCTTTAAAAGTCACTGCGTATCTGCTTCCACCACCTCCCCCGGCAGTGAGTTCCAGGCACCCACCACCCTCTGTGTAAAAAACTTGCCTCATACATCACCTTTAAACCTTGCCCTTCGCACCTTAAACCCGTGGCACCTGGTAACTGACTCTTCTACCCTGGGAAAAAGTTTCTGACTGTCCAGTCTGTCCAAGCCCTTCATAATCTTGTAGACATCTATAAGCTCACCCTTCAACGTCCGTCGTTCCAGTGAGAACAACCCAAGTTTCTCCAACCTCTCCATATAGATAATGCCTTCCATACCAGGCAACATCCTGGTAAATCTTTTCTGTACCCTCTCCAAAGCCACCACATCCTTCTGGTAGTGTGGCGACCAAAATTGAACACAATATTCTAAATGCGGCCTAACTAAGGTTCTATAAAACTGCAGCATTACCTGCTAATTTTTAAACTCAATGTCCCGGCCAAAGAAGACAAGCATGCCATATGCCTTGTTGACTACCGTTTCCACCTGCGTTGTCACTTTCAGTGACTTGTGTACCTGTACACCCAGATCCCTCTGCCTATCAGTACTCTTAAGGGTTCTGCCATTTACTGTATATTTTCCATCTGGATTAGACCTCCCAAAATGCATTATTTCACATTTTTCTGGATTAAACTCCCTCTGCCATCTCTCTACTCAAGTCACCAACCGATCTATATCCTGCTGTATCCTTTGACAGTCCTCATTGCTATCTGCAATTTCACTAACCTTTGTGCCATCAGCAAACTTACTAATCAGACCAGTTACATTCTCCTCCAAATCATTTATATATATTACAAATAGCAAAGGTCCCAACACCCCTGAGGAGCGCCACTAGTCACAGACCTCCATTCAGAAATGAACCTTTCCACTGCTACCCTCTGTTTTCTATGACCAAACCAGTGTTTTATCCATCTTGCAAGCTCACCTCTGACCCCGTGCGACTTTACCTTCTGTATCAGTCTGCCATGAGGGACCTTGTCACTGGCCTTACTGAAGTCCATGTAGACAACATCCACTGCCCTACCCTCATCGATCATCTTCGTCACTTCCTCAAATAGCTCAACCAAGTTAGTGAGACACGACTCCCTCCATCACAAAACCATGTTGCCTCTCGCTAATACGCCCACTGATTTCCAGGTGGGAGTAAATTCTGTCTCGAAGAATTCTCTCTAATAATTTCCCTACCTCTGACGTAAGGCTCACCAGCCTGTAATTAGCTGGATTATCCTTGCCACCTTTCTTAAACAAAGGAACAACATTGGCTATTCTCCAATCCTCTGGGATGTCCCCTGTAGCCAGTGAGGATACAAAAAATTACCTCAAGGCCCCAGCAATTTCCTCCCTTGCCTCTCTCAGTATTCTGGGGTATATCCCATCAGGCCCTGGGGACTTGTCTACCTGAATGTTTTTCAAGACCCCCAATACCTCTTCCCTTTTGATCTCAACATGACCCAAATCCAAGAAAAGTGGAGTTGATGGAGCAGGCTTGAAGAGCTACATGATCCACTCCTGCTCCTATGTCCTATATTGTGTTTTTGTCATTTGCACATCACATACAATGCTTGAGCATGAAGTGGATTGAAATAGAAATCTGTATGCTGCTACAGGGCAGTCCATTGGTAGATCGGGTAGGGAAATGCAGTGAGTCAGGTCTGGGCGTCTCTGATCTTGACCCTATGCTCTGGAATTCCCTTCTTAAACATCTCTCCCTCTTCTCCTCCATTAAGCTGCTCCTGAAAAGCATACCTCTCTGAACAAGAATTTGATTACCTACCATGATATCTCATCACATGCCTTAGCATTAAAATTCCTCAGATAATGCAGATTTAAAGTGCCTGGTGATGTGTATTTGCAGGGAGATGTTGGTCTAGTGGCAATGTTATTGGACTGATAATGACACCATAGATGAATGTCATTTCACTGAATGGGGTGTAGAGGAGATTCACCAAGATGTTCCCTGGGATAGAGCTTTTCAGCGATGAAGAGAGGCTGGAAAAGCTTGGATTGTTTGCTTTGGAGCATAGAAGGTTGAGGGGGAACCAGACAGAAGTACATCAAATTATGAGGAACAAGGACAGGATGGATAGAAAACAACTTCTCCCAGAGATAACACGGGGACATAATTTTGAGGTGTAAGGCAGAAAAGTTAGAGGGGATTTGAGGAAACATTTATTCATCCAGGGAGTGGTAGAAATCTGGAATTCATTGCCTGAGAGGTTGTTGAAGAGGGAAACTTCACGACCTTAAATATGAGATAGAGGTCAAAGAGATAGGGTTGCAATTGGAGAATGAGCACTTGAAATGTCATAACATTGAAGGCTTTGGGACAAGTGCTGGAAAATGGGATTGGTGTAGATTTAACATAGTTTTATCAGCACAGACTCAATGGGCCAAAGGGCCTCATCTGTACTGTGAGATTCTAGGCCCAGGCTCACAAGGGGGAGGGAACAGTGGAGTTCAAATCCTGGCATGACAGTTAAAAGAATCCAAAACAAAATCTGGTATTGAAAGTCAGTCTCTGTAATGATGATCATAAAATGATAATGTGGAGGTGCCGGTGTTGGACTGGGGTGGACAAAGTCAGAAATCACACAACACCACATTATAGTCCAACAGGTTTATTGACAATCACAGGCTTTTGAAGCGCTGCTCCTTTGTCACACTTCACCTGACGAAGGAACAGTGTTCTGAAAGCTTATGATTTTAACTAATTCTGTTGGACTATAACATGGTGTAATGTGACTTTAACAACTGAAAGTTTTAAAAATCTGAGGAGTTGTTGGGCTGGCAGTCACTCTAAGTCACTGAGAACAGGGGTGAAAGGACTTGGAGCGATTTAGAATAATGGGCTTCCACATTCTGGAGGATCCGGTGATTACAAAGGGAGGAATCTGGAGAACTGGCCAGCTCAGCATTGGGATAGATGGATCAGGAGATAACAGAGGCATAGACAATGTGAAATGTAATCACCAGGATTGAAAATCTGATTCCTAATGCCTCTGTTTATGTGACGGCGAAGTCAACCCACTTAACTAGAAAAAAAAAGTGCTAAACTTATCTCACAATTGCATGACCAAGGAACCAGCATAACTTAACGTCAAGGCTCATTTAGTGAATCATTCGTCAGCTCCCTAAATCATTTTCAGCTCTTTACATAGAATTCGTTGAGATTATTCACAACAGCTTCAGCGATATTAGTTCATTCCATAAAAGGAGGCCAAAACAATTGGGGTGGGGGAGGAAATGGAAGGAGAGCACCTCTCAATCCTGCAATCCCCACAGCCCAGCTTTCCAAGTGGCTGTGAGGTTAAATATGGGATAGAGGTCAAAGAGATAGCGTTGCAACTGGAGAAAAGCAGAGAATAGCTCTTTGCAGCAATTTTTGCATTTACATTCCGAGCATTGGCCGTACTTATTGAAATGGAGGTGGAAACACGTAGGATCTGTAGAACATGAATCTGAATCATTCAATGAGAGTATTGGAATCCGTCTTCCTATTATTGCGTTTCTTTGGAGCAATGATTAAATATAAGGAAGAATGATTAATGATGCTGGACCAAGTGGCGAGCATTACAGACTCGCATCTTCTATTATTTTTGTAATCATGTCAGACTCCATTTGGTAAATACACAAAAGGAAATATCGCAAGGATGGTCTCCATATTACAAACAAAGTATGGAGACACTGAAGAATGTGCAGCGAAAATACACAAGAATTACACCAAAACTGTGAGGTTCTGTCTTCTCAGAAATAACCAAACAGACTTGAAAACAAAAGGCTGAAAGACATCTTTATAATTCTAAATGATGTAATGAGGAAAATATTTGGAGGGACTGTCTTATGAGGAGAGGTTGAGTAGTTTGGGCCTGTGCTCATTGGAATTTAGAAGAATGAGAGGCGACCTTATTAAAACGTACAAGATTCTCAAAGGATTTGGCAAGGTAGATGATGAGGAAAGGTACTTTTCCCCTTGTGGGAGAGTCTAGGACCAAAGGGAAAATCTCAGAATAAGGGGTCACTTGTTTAAGACAGAAATGAGGAGGAGTTTCTTCTCTGAGAAGGTAGTGAATCTGCGGAATTGTTTACTGTAGATGGCTGTCGAGGCTGAGTCATTAAGTATATTCAAGGCTGGGATAGACAGATTTTTAATCAGTAAGGGAATCAATAGATATGGGGAAAAGACAGGAAAGTGGAGTTGAGGATTATCAGATCAGCTACAATTTCAGTGAAGTTCAGAGTAAACTCAATGGGCTGAATGGCCTACTTCTGCTCCTTTGTCTTGTGGCCTTTTATGGGGAATTTCAAAACTAAGGATCATAAATGAGTTAATCATCAATAACTCAATTAGGACATCAGTAAAGCTTTGGAAGGAATATTAACTATATATATGTATGTATTTGGGATGAACTGGAGGATTAAATATTGACATCCTGAATCCCAACCCCACTTCTGGTTTTATGAAGAGAAGTGAGTGGTCAAGGCAGGGAAAAGGTCTGAAAAAGTCCCCAGGATTGGATGCACACCCCCAAGCAAACCTCCCCTATCTTGCTCTGAGATAGTAAGAACTGCAGATGCTGGAGTCAGTGATAACACAGTGTGGAGCTGGAGGAACACAGCAGGCCCGGCATCTGATGCTGCCTGGCCTGCTGTGTTCCTCCAGATCCACACTGTGTTATCTCTCCTGTCTTGCTCTCTGTTTTCCCCTCCCTGAAAATTGTCAGTTTGCCATGCCTATCACTTGCCCTCAACCCCAATCCCAATCCACAAATCCTCAAAACCTCCTCCAATACTCCGATCTCCTACTCATTGGCTACCAGCCTCTCTTGAGGCTTCCATGTTCACTCAGGTGGCCCAATCTCCAGTTTTCTCTCACCCTGGCTGAATTGAAGACTTCAGTTTTAGAAAAAAAGAGAACCAAAGAGGGAAAGCTGTTAGAAATCTCTCTCTGGCCCCCCTGTGAAACAAAACTCCATATACAAGTTAATGCCTCACATCTGTTAACTCATACCTCTCAATAGTCATTGTGCAACCCCAATACAATAGAAAGGTCCACTTACCACAGGCAGTTGGATCATACTTATCGCAATACTCTCCAACAAAAGAATAAAAACCTCTGTATCCAACGTTACCCCGACCAAACAATTAGACGTGGCATCTGATAATTCCTTGGAGCAGTGAAGAAGAGCCTAAAGGTGGAATCATTACATCCGAAGCAAGCTGACAAGGGAATCAGAAATGTGCAACCATGGATTTTTGCTCTTGAGAAAATGTAGGCAGTTTTAAAAATCAGCACATTTCCGGCTGATGATTCAAATTAGAGGAAGGAAGACAAAAATGATGGAGAATATAGTTCCTACAGTTTCAGATATTGTGCAACTTGAAAGACACATCAAAACTGAAATATATTTAAGAAAGGAATCTATCCTGCTGTTGATTTGGTTCTGCATTGATTTTATTTCTCGCCGTGCTGTTTATTATGGATCGAATCAAACTAGATTGTTACAGCATGAAATTATATTTACCACCTCTGCCTGCTCCACTGTGATATGTTCTAAATGAACAACTCCTAACCTAGATCTCTCAGTTACATACCAATGTCAACCATGTTACCACTGTCAGTAGCAGAGAATTCAGAGGCTGAGGAGCTTAAACTAAGCGATGAATTTAACAGTGATAACACAACAGGGAATTTTGCACAAATAATTAGAAGGAAAGTTGCGATTTCAGAAATTGCTCTATGATTGATTGAAGAAAATAATGAGCTTCTATTTCATGATATGATAAAACCCTAGAATAGTTACAGGGCAGAAGGAGGCTATTTGGCCCATCCTGAATGGGAGGTCATAGTTTTAGGATAAGGGGTAGCAGATTAAAGTGGAGATGAGGTGAAATTACTTCTCTCAAAGGGTCATGAATCTGTGGAATTCACCCCTCCAAAGTACAGTGGATGTTGGGACATTGGGTAAAGTTAAGGAGGAGATAGACAGAGTTTTAATTAGTAACGGGGTGGAGGGTTATGGGGAGCAGGCAGGAAAGTGGAGTTGAGGCCTGCATGATTATATCAAATAGCAGTGCAGGCTTGAGGGGTTGAATGGCCTAGTCCTGCTCATGGTTTACACGTGACTCAGCTGGCTGTCTGTGACACCAGCTCAGTTTGTTCTACTCCCAAATTATTTAGTGCCAGAAATTCTTTTCTCTTCAGGTAATTATGCAACTTCCAGTTGAAAGCCACAAAAGAATCTGCCTCCACCACACTCTCACACACTGCAATTCAGATCCCATTTATTTAGAATCACACAAAACAGAAAAGATTTCTCGCCTCAGCTAATCTGTACCGAAAATATTGCACTAAATCTCTCCTGGCCCCACTTTCCAGTATTGGCCCTTTGCCTGAATGATTGCCTGGGCCAGCCTGTTGCCTTAAACATCATATTCTCATGGAACCATTGTGTCTTTGACCAATGACCTTATATTAGTGTCTGCAACAGAAGCAGTTTCTTCATATCACAGAATCCCTACAGCTTGAAAACAGGCCATTCGGCCTATCAAGTCCACACCAACCCTCTGAAGAGCATCCCACCCTGACACTTATCCCTACAACACTGCTAGCCTGCCCATCATTAGACACGATGGGCAATTTAGAATGTCCAATCCACCTAAGCTGCAGATCTTTGGACTGTGGGAGGAAACCTGAGCACCCGGAGTAAACCCGCACAGACACGGGGAGAACATGCAAATTCCACACAGACAGTGGCCCGGGGCTGGAATTGAACCTGGGTCCCTAGTGCTGTGGGGCAGCAGTGCTAACCACTGAGCCACCATGCCTCCCTATCTACTCTGTCCAGACCCTTCATGACTTTGAATACCATTATCAAAACTCTTCTGCACTTTCTCTTCTCAGGAATAATAGAGTAGTAGAGGCATAGAACTGTACAGTACGAAAACAGACCTTTTGGTCCAACTCATCCATGCCGACCAGATATCTTAAATTAATCTAGTCCCACTTGCCAGCATTTGGCCCATATCCCTCTAAACCCTTCCTATTCACATACCATCCAGACGCCTTTTAAATGTTGTAATTGTACTAGCCTCCACCAACTCCTCTGGCAGCTCATTCCCTACACGCACCACCCTCTGCATGAAAATGTTGCCCCTTAGGTCCCTTTTATATCTTTTCACTCTCACCTTAAACCTATGCCCTTCAGTTTTGGGCTCCCCTATCCTGGGGTAAAGACTTTGGATATTCACCCTATCTATGCCCCTCTCATGATTTTATAAACCTTTATAAGGTCACACCTCAGCCTCTAGAGCTCCAGGGAAAATAATAAAGCTCATAATTGAAGTCACTCATCCATCGATCCATTCTTACAAATCTTCTCTGCATCTTCTCCAATGCTTTCCCATCCTTCTCACTGTGTGGTGGCCAGAATCAGACATAGTACTCTAGTTGATGCTGAACCAGTGTTTGGTGAGAGTTCTCCACAGTGTCATTGCTATATCTCCACCAGCATGCTCCATCTTACCTCCAATCAAATACAAATGTTTCCAACAGGATGGAAGAATGAACACAATGCATGGCCGGCTGCTAATTACACATTGAGCAAATCTATTCTTTAGCTCAAAGTTAAATTTACTCTGAATAAAATGTCCTTTATCAGCAAGGGTAGCTGTAAGCTTAAGACTGTGATACAGTGGAGAGTGTGAACTGGGGCATGGAGGCTTACTGGTATTAAGTCTATGAGACCATAAAACATGATAGTAATGTTCCCTGTAAGCTGTGCAAGCCACGCACCAGAAAATTAAAAATCGTAGGTGCCCCATGATTGTCACACAGATGTGCAACGAAGGAATCCTTGCCAGACCTCCACCAGCATCTTCCCAATGGCCATGTGTGGCTGGCCCATGAACAAAGCCCAGGCCTTCTGAACTCATGACTCATCCACGCAACCACTTCCAGCTCCAGAAAAATGCTGACAACTTCACATCATTGATGCAAGTTGTGGGAAGGGGGAGAAGCCAGGTCACGCCACCTCTGGTCACAGACTCGAGTCGAAGACCATCCGAATAGGGTTGGGGGGAGTCCTGGGGAATTTACAGTCTTCTCAGCGGTGACAACCAGGGTGAGGTCCAGGAAGCAGGCAGCTATTCCAGAAGGAAGTAACACGTGCCACGAGAAGCAAATTACACCTCTCTTTCATATTTTAAGCTTTGTTTTCTCGATAAGTTTAAGCTACGACCAAGAGGAAAGCAAATGGATCTTCAGGCTCTGAAGATAAGGTAGTGAGATGAGGGTAGAGTGTACAGAGCGCTAAAAAGACCAATCTCAACATGGTGAAAGTTCTCATTGATAATATTACACGCACAGTAAAAGTGAGTGGATCCATGTTTGCTGTGTAAAACATTGGTGATCATGTGGTAAGATACACAGCAATTACTGAGAGCTGGTGCAGAAAAGATGACAGTTTTGAATTTTTGGAGTGCATCAGAATAGTATTGAATCTGTAGAATTCTTTCCCACAGAGGGCTGTCAAGGCTGGGTTATTCAGTATATTCAAGGCTGAGATCGACAGATTTTTAATCAGGAAAGGAATCGAGGGCTACAGGGAAAAGGTAGGAGAGTGCCGTTGAGGATTATCAGAACAGCCATAATCCCATGGAATGGTGGATTAGACTCAATAGACTTAATGGTCTATTTCTGGTTCCATTTCTTAGTGGTGAGCTGGAGTCACCAGTTTACCATTCCGATTTTCATGTTGGGAATTGTTGTGGTCTAGCGTCTATCCAACGGATGGGAAACTGTCTACTAATGTGAGATGGCACAATAATGAGGATGTGAAAGCATGCAAGCAAGGGTCTCACTAGTGAGAATCCCATCTCATCACTCAACAGTTGGTTGTAAAGTGGAACTGTTTGCGCTTGAAAACAGGAAGTTCCTCGCTGCTGATCGCACACCAATTTTCCAACTTTCTTGTTACTACCCACAATGTGCAGGGGCTAGAAATATTCTGGCCAACTTACTTTATCTGTCTGTATAGGATTCTGAAGACAATTCATACCAGACTCAAAACATTAATCCTGTTTCTCTTCCTACAGATTCTGCCAGACCTATTGAGTTTCTGCAGCATTGTCTGTGTTTGTTTTAGCTTGTACGCTTCATCAGATTAACTGTGTTTTTATTTCACTAAGCAACAATCTTCCAGAAGTCAGTAAATTTGAGGGACTCCGATTAATTATCCTTGTGATCCCAGCATGTGTGACCGGGGGTAGAGGTTTAAGGAAAGTGAACAAAAATGCCAAAGTGTAATTAAATGCAATGGTTTGAAAAAAGGATGAAATGACCCATTTGAAAATTGTAACTTAAGGTAGGTTTTGTTGGGAAAATCAAATGGTACATCTTGCTCCACTTAGAAAGAAAGACGCAAAGACCTTGTAAAGATTGATGTAGTGCAGGAGATGGGCCATTTAATTAGTTGCTGAAGAGTCTGATCAACAGGAGCTGTCTGCTCACAGGGTGCTAAGCATGTAACTTTTTGCAACACGTTTGTAATGAATGTATGTATTGTATTGTTAACTGGGATTCCTACCAAACCTAGTAAATATATTAGTGTTTATTTCAGGCTCATATTTCTCTTGGTCCTTGTACCTAAACCATACAGTAACTTGTCAAGGTTAGAAATTTACAACTTGCACATCTAATTATACCTTACTACACATTTTATATATCCCTTAATAAATCAACCTATCTTCAGAGTCCTACAATTATTTACAACAACTGAAAATTGCTTTGAGTCTCACTGCCCTCTATGTTTGATTCACCATTCAGTTTTGTGATATTTTCTAAAGATACATTCACAGCCTTTCATATCAATTCCAATCTTCATTTGTTGTTTCTTCATTTATTTCTTCTTTATTTTCCTTCTCACTTTCTCATCACACCTCATTTCTGCGCAGAACACACTTCCTTTACTTGCCTTAAAATAGCCTTGAGCCAATTCAATTTTCTTTCGTGTTCTATTCATATCTACAGTTTCCAAATTAATGTCCCCTAAGGCTTTATGCATGGCTCCTAAATTTCCTCTCCTGAAGGCTTGCACTAATATATTATTGTTTTTGGCCTTACTCTCACAACATGTTCACATCGAATTGAACAAGGTTGACTAGGTTCTGAAT